CTCCACTTCTTCCACGGTACAAGCCCATCCGGCGATCCACAGCGCAAAGTTGATGTATTTCCTCAGCGACCAGCACGGATCAGCTCCAGGCATGACGAAGCGGATATCGTCCTCTTTTGGAAGGCCAAACAAAGTATATTCGCTTTCACAACAAAACACACAGCGTCTTCACGACATGCGGCGGCAGCAACAATACTACAGCGAGAATAAAAGTTACGCCTTCTTTCTTTGCGTGAACATTTGGGCGGCGTTATGCAAATCTTCCCACATCGTGAAGTAGACGTGGGGGCGTGTTAGAACGAGCCGTTTTAGGTAGACGTGGTTGACTCTTAACTTTTATAAAGAATATCTCTTTGGATTTGAGACTTTGGTCTTTGCAACTTTACAGATTTTCTTTATGCACCAAGAGCTTGTAACACTCCAAAGAGAAAGGCAAAATTGAAATCGCATCATATGACCCCTTTAACGCAGTTTTTTTCTGGATGCACTTTTAAGCTTTCTGGTCTCTACGTCACCCGACCATGACGTCTAACCACCCAATTAGACTAATTTCACACGTGCTACAGGACCCGATCACACAGAGGTGTTCCCAGTGTTTCGATGCAGCGCGAGTTCCCTTGAAGGGGAACTAATTTTATATGAATATGAGTATTTTGAATAATTTTCAAATCTTTCCATACAGTTCAGTTCTTATGTTTCCCAAAGACTGGGAAAGTTTTTTAAAGATCCGTTGAAGTTTGATCCAGAGAGATTTGATGTGAACGCCCCAAAGTAAGTCTCATTTTACCCTCTGTTTTAGTATTTTAGTATGCTGCATTCACGCCATAATTACAGTAATTACGAGATTACCATTTTTGACATTCTACTTTAAGATGTTCACATCCTTGGACGTTTGATTTCCATGGCAACACTATTAATGCAATCTGTGTAATTTGAGTAATCAAAACCACAATATAACAAATAACAGTCCTTTACGCAAATGCCTTATTAATACATGTATAGTTTATTTACCAGAGTTTAACTATGTACTAGCTGCTGTATTGTATGTATATGTGTATGTGTATGTGTTTGTTTGTTTTTTCAGATTATTCATACATTTTTAATACATTAACAATAGGCAGTTATAGAAATTATTAAACATAAATATTATGAAATAACTACTTAACTACATTTTACTGCTAAAGCCATTGCCATTTAAAGCATTTTGGCATAATGTTACAGCAGTAAGAATTTACAAATTGTAATTACTGTACAAGTTAAATGAGGACGTGAGCGATTTTTACAAGTCCGATTCTTGTAATTATGGTATTTATGACATGAACACACCTTTATATTGTGACATTATGGCATGGAATCTGCTGATTTCTAATTGTGTTCTTATCTGTAAGGCCTTATTACTGCTACTACCCATTTGCACTTGGTCCACGAACCTGTCTAGGGCAGGTTTTCTCACAGGTGATGAAGCACACACACACGTTTGCACCTTCAGAATTTTTTGACTTTCAGAACACACAGGCTCATGTGTTGGATTCCTTTAGATGTTTGATTTATACTTTTGTTTTCCAAGTGCCAAATTTGCTGTGATCTTGACCACTCTGTCATGTTTCTACATTCAGATGGAGGCAAAAGTTGTGCTTGCCAAACTGCTTCAGAGATTTGAGTTCAGTCTGGTTCCTGGACAGTCTTTTGACATTAAAGACACAGGAACTCTACGGCCCAAGAGCGGAGTGATCTGCAACATTAAACACTGCTCATAGGACATGTTTATGGCCCTTGTTTTGTAGCAATTCTTGTGTACTTATGCCTGCATACATCATCTTGTATTATTCAAACATTAACCAAAAAAAGAGTCTCATCATTGCGAGAGTTTTTTGACATATGTCAGCATGACATCAGAGCAAGTCAGACCACACTCGGACACGTTTCTAACCAGCATGAATCTCATGGTGATCTGTTCTGTGGTTTGTTCATCTGAAATGAGCCTTTTGTGTTTCCTCTAATTTTTTCTTTATTTGCAATGATGATACAGTGTTTTGTAGTTAATAATTTCAAGTTTTATAGCTGCTCTAAGTCTACTACAATTTTTTTAACCAATTGCAATCAACTAGACCATTTTAATGGTAATTTTAAAAGTCTGACATAGTGACATGTTAGCCTTCTCAGTTTGAAGGATGCTTGAAAGGTAGCCTTTGTTTCATGACTCTCAGCTGTGTATTTAGAAGGCTGCATTCTTCACATCCTCAAATCACCTACAATCCTTTTCATATATTCCAATTGACATATAAAATGTTTGAAGACTGTTCAGCACTGATCTCATCTAAGTTTTTTTATGAAATGTAAGAAATAAAGAAAAATGTTTTCAAGATATTCACGTTTTCTTTCTTCTTTTTAATGAATACATTTCTGTCACATATAAAAAGCCTGTCAGTACATTGTTACTGAATAATTTTGACTAGGGTTTTTTTTTTTTTTTTTCTATTTTGCCAAAGAAAATTTCTAAACAAAGCAGAACAGTTGTCTCTCAGCAACACAGAGAGTGTTGTTTCATCTTGGAACTATTCAGCTTTTTTGAATCGGGTAAGTCAATGATTCAATGACTAGATAAACTACATGAAAGAATGATACTATGTCTTAATCAATACATATGAATTAATTGATTAAGACATATCGCCAACTAGGCCCTGCTATTTTTGTTCAAATATCCCATGGGACCCTGAGCACCCACAGAAAAACACAAGATATTCTACCTATGGGAAACTCTATGATTTGTGGATATCACATCAGGCCACTGTGGGTCGTAATACACAAAACTGGTTCATTAGAGTGGCTAGTTAATGGAGTTTTGTTTGTTCCGTTCCCAAAATCAGCTAGTAGTCTTGCAAAATGCAAACATTGATTAAGACTTGTCATTTGTTATGCTTTCATTTCATACTTCCATGATTCTGTGATGTTTTCAACATTAAATAAAAAGTCTGTAGCCTGTGGATAAAACTTATTTGTTTGGGCAGTTTTCATTATCAGTAGCTCCAGTTTAGGCGATCATATGGCGTTTTATGGCAGTATGCTTCAAAGACAAATCAGTTCCGCAGATCTACAATAAGAGTAAACATCTATACTTAAAGGGTAAGTTCACCCCAAAATTTAAATTAGGCTGTGTTTTACTCACCTCCGAGGCATCCTAGGAGTATATGACTTTTTTTCTTTCAGACGAATCCAGTCGGAGTTATATAAAAAATTGTCCTGGCTATTCCAAGCTCTATCATTGCAGTCAGCGGGTGTTGCAGTGCTTCAGTCCAAAAGAAGTTAAATAAAAAGCACCCATCCATAAAAAAAGTGTCTCACACGCTCCGAGGGTGAACAAAGGCCTCCTGTAGCGTTTTGTAAGAAAAATAACCATATTTAAAACGTAATAATCAATTTAATCTAGCTTGCGCTCACTGTTGTAAACGAAAGCAGTTCCGGGCTGATGACGTATGAGTTCAGCTTTGCACATGCGCCGCTCAGAAGTGACGCACGCGGAAACGCAGCGGAGAGATAAAAAAAAAACAATGGTCACTAAATAGAAGTACAAAACGAGGATTTGTAAAGAAGAATGTCAGAGGATTTCGATATAAGCCAAGAGGAGACTTTGCTAAAGTAAGGAAATGTTGCTTCCTTTGCTCCTGTTAACAAACATTGGTTTACACGAGACTCACTGGCGCATGCGCAAAGCTGACTTCATACGTCATCAGCAGAGCTACTTCCGTTTACAACTGTTGGCGCAAGCTACATTAAATTGATTATTACGTTTTGAATATGGATATTTTTCTTACAAAAACGCATCGATTCGCTACAGGAGGCCTTTGTTCACCCTCCGGAGCCGTGTGAGACACTTTTTTTATGGATGGGCGCTTTTTATTTCACTTCTTTTGGACTGATGCATACAACACCCGCTGACTGCAATGATAGAGCTTGGAATAGCCAGGACAATTTTTTATATAACTCCGACTGGATTTGTCTGAAAGAAGAAAGTCATAAACACCTAGGATGCCTCAGGGGTGAGTAAAACACAGCCTAATTTTCATTTTTGGGTGAACTAACCCTTTAATGTAGGGGCTTCATCCTATATGATTTCATTTATGTTTGGATTATTTGTTTTATTTGAAAAACAAGAGTATGCCGAATCTCCAGTTTCAAAGCGCTGATAAGTAAGTAACAATGTAATATCCAGCCAATGTTAACTTTATTATAAGAAAACACAAAAAATGAAGGGTGAGCTGAAACATACATAAGCGCCTATAAATGAATCAGCTCTTCTTTTCTGGACCACAAAAGGATAAATATATATACATTTTTTTTTTAAATCTCACACTCGACCATAAATTGTAGATAGCAACCAGTGTCAAGTTTATAGGGCAGATACACGGTGTATACTTTTTTTGCATAGCATGCATATTTATTTACCATTGAACAAAGACTTTAAAAACATTGCATAAACAACTGAACAGATTATCATGAGGCCTATATTACCTGTTTACCATACATGTACACTTCTGGTTCATCTTCATCCACTTTAGTCTTCCTCAGAATCCCATAATATAAAAAATAATTCTTTAAACAATTGGGAGAAATGAAAAGCATCAAAGCTAAATTTGCATTGAAATTGGAACACAAACCCAAGTTTTGTCAACATAGGGTTGTTCCGTAAGCCCTTTACCCAAAAGTTGAGGCTGAACTGAACCGTCTCACTGAAATTGGTGTATTTTCTCCTGTAGAGTACAGTGAATGTGCTACTCCAATAGTCCCTGTTTTAAAGAAAGATGGATATGTGCACATCTGTGGCAACTTTAAAGTGACTGTAAACCCCACCGTACACATTGAATCCTATCCCCTACCGCGCATTGAGGACCTGTTTGCTTCATTAGCAGGAGTCGTGTTTTAGTAAATTAGACCTATCGCATGCTTACCTTCAGATGAGGGTTGAGGAAGAGTCCAAGCAGATTCTTGTAATTTCACCTCAGAAAGGCCCATTCCAATATAATTGTCTTCCATTTGGGATCACTTCGGTACCAGCCATGTTCCAGAGATCTATGGACCAAATATTACAAGGCCTACCAAATGTCCATTGTTACCTCGATGACATTCTGGTAACTGGGTGGACCGAAGCTGAACACCTGGAAAACCTGGATGCAGTTCTTGGATGTCTGAAGCAGTTGGGCTTACATGATGAAAAAAGCAAATGCGACTTTTTCAAGGACTCATTGGAGTACCTGGGTCACATAATTGATGCTGAAGGCTTCCTCAAGTCGCCTGATAAAGTAATAGCAATTGTTGATGCATCAACACCATCAAATGTCACACAGTTGATATTGTTTCTGGGCCTGTTAAACTATTATGGGAGATTTATACCCAATTTGGCAACCATAGTGAATCCATTGAATGCACTGCTCTGTAAAGGAACATGCTGGCAGTGGTCTGTCGAGCGCGACACTGCATTCAAAAAGGCAAAGGAACTACTGGTGTCACAAAATGTCTTGACACACTATGACCCTCAGAACACCATCCGCCTCAAATGTGATGCGTCACCTTATGGTATTGGGGCTGTCATTTCCCACATGTTGCCCAATGGTGAAAAAAAGGCTGTAGCCTTTGCTTCACGCACACTTCGTAAGGCAGAACAGAATTATGCACAGATTGAGCGTGAGGCATTGGCAATAGTATTCAGAGTCCGGAAATTCCACCAGTATCTCTACATTCGAAAGTTCATGCTTTTCACAGACCACAAACCACTCACTACGATCTTTGGTCCCCAAAAGGGAATTCCGTCTATGGCAGTGGCGCGAATGCAAAGGTAGGCCTTTACGTCTGTCTGCGCATAACTACACTATTGAGTATAAAAACGCTGAACACCATGCGAATGCCTATGGCCAATCCCGTCTGCCATAACACGTGGAGTATAGGGAGGAAAAGGATGCTGTATATTTGTTCTACCTGGGGCAGATTGAGAAACTCCCTGTAAGGGCTACTGATATTTGGCATGAGACTCTGACTGATCCAGCCTTGTGTTTAGTCCTTGAAATGGTCATAAAAGGGACTCAAGCAGTGAACCTGGCCAGTAACAATGAACTCTTACCTTTCATCTCCAGACGGGATGAACTGTCAGTCTTTTTTTTATAATTTCAAATCAGCAATAAATTCTAACAACAATGGCGTCATAAATTTTACTTGTTGCACTTTATAAAAACATGAAAATTTTGAACCATTTCCGTCTCTTTCCATACAGTTCAGTTCTTATGTCTCCCAAAGAATGGAAAATTATTTTAAAGATCCGTTGAAAAAAGATTTTTAAAGTTTGATCCAGAGAGATTTGATGTGAACGCCCCAAAGTAAGTCATTATCACAGTCTCATTTTACCCTCTGTTTCAAAATTCATGCCATAATAACCATAATTACGAGATGACAACCTGTGACGTGTTCGTCTCCGATTTATTAATTTCTGGTAACACTCTTAATGTAATGAATCTGTGCAATTTGTGTAATCATTAGACAAAACTACAACAAATAACAGTTGTTACACAAATGCATTGGTAATAAACATATTTTAGGTTTTTTTTTCTTCTTCTCTGAGCTAGCTACATTAAACTATTGTATGTCTGTTTGTACTGTATAAGTGTTTCCACATGATATTGCAGGGGTCAGAGTCTACAAGTTGTTATAACAAGTTAAACAAGGACATGAGCACACTTTACAGTCGTTATTTCATAATTATGATATTTACGACATGCACACGGCGTTTCACAAAACCATAAGGTATAGCAGTGGTGTGAATCGCGGTTCGGGGGTTCAGAGTGGTTCCCCTTCTGATGAAATTGCAGTCTGGGGGTCGCAGGGGATGATTGCCTAGGCTAGGGTATGGCAACCCACAACCGGGGTATGGTGTCCTGCTATACTGAAACGCCGCCCCTGTGAATACACTTTTATATTGTGACATTTTAGCATGAAATCTGTCATTCTAATTGTGTTCTTATCTGTAAGGCCTTATTACTGCTACTACCCATTTGCACTTGGTCCACGAACCTGTCTAGGGCAGGTTTTCTCACAGGTGATGAAGCACACACACACACACATAGACACACATGTTTGCACCTTCCTTTATCCTTCAGAATTTTTTGATTTTCAGAACACACAGGGTCATGTGTTGGATTCCTTTAGATGTTTGATTTATACTTTTGTTTTCCAAGTGCCAAATCTGCTGTGATCTTGACTACTCTGTCATGTTTCTACATTCAGATGGAGGCAAAAGTTGTGCTTGCCAAACTGCTTCAGAGATTTGAGTTCAGTCTGGTTCCTGGACAGTCTTTCGACATTAAAGGTCTCACATGATGCTGCTAAACAGAACATTATTTTGTGTATTTGGTGTAATGAAATGTGTTTCTGCGGTTTAAGGTTCAAAAAACATTATTTTCCACATACTGTTCATTATTGTTTCTCCTCTATGCCCCGCCTTTCTGAAACGATTTTTACAAAGCTCATCGGTCTGAAAAGCGAGGTGTGCTGTGATTGGCCAGCTATCCAGTGCGTTGTGATTGGCCGAATGCCTCAAGCGTGTGACGGAAATGTTACGCCCCTTTACACACTCTGATGCCGTCTCCCGGCACGGCAAGATGAAACCAATAAAACTCATTACAAACGAGGCATTCGTTGCATCCAGTGGGGACATAATTACTGATTATAATGACTTATACTGTGTGTGACGGAAATGTTACGCCCCTCACCATACTGTGATGATGCCGTCAGGCCGGAGCGATGATTCAAAAACATGAAAACTCATTATAAACTAGGCATTCGTTGCATCCAGTGGGGACATAATTATGGATTATTATGACTTATACTTTCTTTTTACGCGGAAGGACATGTGACGACTCCGGGCTGGACTCCGTTCATCCACGGTTGAAAGCCGATCCGGCGATCCACAGCGCGAAGTTGATGTATTTCCTCAGCGACCAGCACGGATCAGGCATGACGAAGCAGATATCGTCCTCTTTTGGAAGGCCAAACAAAGTAGCACACAGCGCCTTCACGACATGGCGGCGGCAACAACAATACTACAGTGAGAATAAAAGTTACGCCTACTTTGTGTGAACATTTGGGCGGCATTATGCAAATCTTCCCACATCGTGATGTAGATATGTGGGGGCGTGTTAGAACGAGCCGTTTTAGGTAGGCGTGGCTGACTCTTAACTTTTATAAAGAATATCTCTTTGGATTTGAGATTTTAGTCTTTGCAACTTTACAGATCTTCTTTATGCACCAAGAGCTTGTAACACTCCAAAGAGAAAGGAAAAATTGAAATCGCATCATATGACCCCTTTAAGGTTTTTGTTTAAATACATTGTCTAGATTATATAAATATGAACATTATATAAGCATAACAGGCTACATGCTCAATGAGAACCAGTCAAACTACTGGTAAATCTGCTTAACAATTTAAGTGAAAAGTTCTGTAGTAAAAAGTATCAAAAATGTCAAAATCCTGAAACATTGTTAATCTGATTTTAAAATGGTCTTATATTACACACTATATGCTGCTTAACCAAAGAGATTAAACACAGTGTATTACAGTTTTTTACGATTGCTTAAGCACAATTTTGAAAACAGGGCCCGGTTTGTCAAAACACTACACACAATTAACACAACCCTACACCAAAGTAGCACTTCAGATCATTTGCAAAATGGAACACTTTTGTCAAAACTATATACAACTTTATAAAAACAATATTTTGTTACCATACGAAACACACTTTTCATATGACTTTAATCTTTTTGAACCAGTTACACACTGCTTTTGCCAACCTAAAACACTTCTAGCAAGTCTAATTCTCAGTGATTAGAGTACACAAAGTGCAACTATACAATAGTTCAAACACTACACAAGACCAATGCTGCAGACTGCCGAAAATATCATTGATTTCTCTCCATATACCCAAATCAGTCAACATGGAGAATCACAACAAAACATGTCCCAGTTGTCATGCTACTACAGTAGTGTGCATAACACTGTTAGCTCAGCAAACAACAGACAAACGTAAAATACTGTATCCAGTACAGGTTACAATTACAGTAAATAACGACAACAACAAACATAAAAAATAATATGAAAAAAACTGACAATATTGTACAGAAAATACTACAGTAAACATACTATACATTATCTCTTCGCCTAGCTGGATCTGGCCAGAGAATTTCATCAACATCACAAGCAATATCCTCATTAGCAAGACAACGCAGGAAGAACCGTCTTGAATATCGAATCCATCCTTGCACAGCTGCGGCGTCGACTTGGTCACAGGATGACAGTGTATTGTATCTGGTGCATTTCATTACCTGCTGTGACGATGTGGTGCAATCGGTCCAAAAATGCGAGAATGTGAGGTGTGTTGTAAGGGCCCATTTTGGCATGACGGAGGAGAACCCCATACTGTGAAATGGCAGCGCAAAGGGTGAGTTACCCCCACGTTGCCCTGGGACATTGATTATAGCCCTGTGGCCAATGATATTTCTGCCTCTCCTTCTTGCTTTTGTGAGGTTGAACCCTGCCCATCTACTCCGCCTCTGCGTCTGCGTACTCCGCCTCTGCCTCTGCCTCTGCCTCTGCCTCTGTGTACTCCGCCTCTGCCTCTGCGTACACAGAGGCAGAGGCAGA